GACCATTTTATGTATGATTATATTTTCTCTGCTTTCTGAGCTTTTATTTTTACAGTTGTACTTTTTTTTTTTCCTTTTTGTCTTTTTTACTGACTGGTAATGGGATCGCAACCGTCGGTGTCGCGCCTGTACCGGGGACCGGCAACGGGATCGCAACCCTCGGTGTTGTGCCCGCACCGCGCTCAGCCAGTGAGTGGGAACCGGTCTCCACATGGGATCCAAACCCTCGGCGGGAGCGCCGCCGCACTCTCAAGCGGCGCACTCTCCAGTGCACCACCGGGCCGGCCCACAGTTGTACTTTTTTAAAGTGTTTTTTATTTTTTATTTTTTTGTGACTGGTAAGGGGATCGCAACCCTTGGAGTGGTGTCGCCCGCACCGCGCTCAGCCAGTGAGCACACCGGCCATCCCTATATAGGATCCGAACCTGTGGCCTCGGCGCTCCCAGTGCTGCACTCTCCTGAGTGAGCCACGGGGTCGGCCCTTTATTTGTTTTTTATACTTACCCTAAAATTTGTAATATACATTTACAACTAATTCAAGTCCACTTTCAAGTGACAGTATACCACTTTACAGGTTGTGTGATTTGCTTCTTACAACAAAATAATTCCATTTTCTTTCTGTCATCCTCCTGTTTCTCATATCATTTTTGTCATTTCATTTTACTTATACGTAAGCTTACATAACTACATGGGTATGTGTCTGTAATAGCATTCATAATTTTGTACATTGTTACTACTATTATTGGATATAACCTGTTATCTGTTAGATCAATTAAGGATAAGAAAAATGAAAGCATTTATTTTACCTCCACTTATTTCTTCTGTAATGTTCTTTCTTTCTTTATGTCAATCCAAATTTCTGACCTGTATCTTTTTTTTTTTTTTATCTGTAGAAATTCTTTTAACATTTCTTGCAAGACAACTATACTGGCAGCTGGTGTCCTTAATTTTTATTTGTGTAAGAAAAACTTTATCTCTCCTTCTCTTTTGAAGGATGATTTTCAGGGTACAGAACTGTAGGTGGGCTTCTTCTCTCAACACTTGGAGTATTTCATTTCATCTACTTCTTGCTTGTATGGATTTTGAGCAGATTTTAGATGTAATTCTTATCTTTGTTCCTCTATAGGTAAGATGGTTTTTTCCCATTATCTAGCCTTTTTTCAAATTTTTTTTAATCTTTGATTTTCTGTGGTTTAAAAATGATATGCTTAGGTGGAGATTTTTGGCATTTATCTTGGTTGGTATTCTCTAAGCTTTCTGGATCTTTGGTTTGGTGTCTGATATTAATTTGTGGAAGTTCTCAGGTATTATTCTTTCAAATTTTCCTTCTGTTTCTTTCTCTGTTTTTTTCTGGTATTCTCATTATTCTGTGGTACTTTGTGTTATAGGAAACTTTTGTAGTTTTCCCACAGTCCTTGGTATTATGTTCTATTCTTCTCTGTCTTTGGTCTTTTTGCTTTTCAGTTTTTGAAGTTTCCATTGATTTATTTTCAAGCTCTGAGATTCTTTTTTCAGTCTTGTTAAGTCCACTAATAAGCCAATTGAAAACATTCTTCATTTAAATTACAGTGTTTTTGATCTGCAGTATTGTTTTTGGTTTGTTTTGTTTTTTTCTTAGGACTTTTACCTCTGCTTACATTGCCCAACTGTTCTTGAATACTTCCTGCTTTATCCATTTGAATCCTGAGCTTACACCGTCTGATCATTTTAACATCCTAGTCATGTCTTTTTCTGATGCTCGCTCTGTCACTTCCAGCTGTGTTTCTTTATTTTTTGTCTTTTAAAATGCCTTGTATTTTTTTTTTTATAGCCAGACATGATGTACTAGAGAAAAGAAAGTATTCTAAATATGCATTCATTAATGTAGTGGTATGTGGAGAAGGAGGCGCTGTCTTAGTCTGTTTGGGTATAACAGTATATCTTAGAGTAGGTAATGAATAAACAACAGAGTTTTTTGGCATATTTAAAAATGCTTAGCCTTTTTCTTTCTCACAGGTGAAAGTCGGGGGGGGGAGATTTTTTTGTATTAACTGTAGGAACTTATTCAAGCTTTTGATGGTGAATTTCTCAGTACTGTGAAATGACTGGATCTCCTGGAGTTTTAACCCTCAGAGTTGTCTACACTGAGCCTCCATCAATCTGTCAGTCACAGTTCAAGTTTTCCTGCTTTTACACTGGTTCCCATGGTGGTTTCCAATAAAGCAGAGTAAGTCTCTGCTCCTGTAAGCCATGACTCTACATTTGACTGTCTGCCTCGCTAATCTTCAGGTCAGCAGTTTGCTCTGTGTCCTTTTGTCTCTTATGGTTCCAAAGCAATTTGTTGATTTTTCAGTCTCTTCAGCTTTATATTTATTGTTACGATGGAGTGATGATTTCCAAGCTTTTTTCTTTCTTTGTGTGCAAAAATAGAAACCCAGAATGTATTTCTAAAAGTACCTTCTTAATGTCTATGTAGATAATCAAAGGATTTTGCTTCATACAGCTATGAAATTGATCAATGTTGGTAGACTTCTTAATACTAAGCTTTCATGAAATAAATTCAGAAAAATTTTTCCTGGTCTTCACAGTCTATTTCTCTTCTTCTATTTTTATATATTAGTGTTTCTACAGATTCCCTACTATTTTTTTTAAATTTAATGTTATATTTGCATTAACTCTGATGTCAAAAGGTATCATTGAAATTCTGATATTTTCTAAGTCTTTATTATCAGCTTAGGTATCTGTCCTAAACACTGAAATTATACATCTTATTGCCATCTGGACATTTTTACAGATATTTTAAATATAATGTGTTCAAGTCTGTGTTACTTCTGCCTTTATAGTTTTTTTCCCCCATTTTCCCAATTTTACTTTACAATGCTGGTCCCTATGTAGCTGCGATCATGTAGATATCCTGGGAATAAAACTTATTTTTAGGGCCGGCCCGGTGGCGCACTGGAGAGTGCACCGCTTGGGAGCGCGGCGGCGCTCCCGCCGAGGGTTCGGATCCCATGTGCAGACCGGTTCCGCATCACTGGCTGAGCGCGGTGTGGGCGTGACACCGAGGGTTGCAATCCCGTTGCCTGTTTCCAGTACGGGCGCAACACCGAGGGTTGCGATCCCGTTGCCGGTCCCCAGTATGGGCGCGACACTGCGGGTTGCTATCCCGTTACCGGTCAGTAAAAAAGACAAAAAGGAAAAACAAACAAACAAACAAACAAAAAAAACCCAAAAAACTTATTTTTATTCTCTGCACTGCAAATTAGAGCCACGTTCTGTTCCTGCTTTTCCTTCCTTTTCTTTTTTCCCTTTTAAAGGATTGCTTCCCTCTTTGGTATGCCTAGTGTTTTGTGTCCTGATGTAGGTGGTCATCTGTTACTCTGTTTTCTTCCCCTCTGACTCTCCCTTAAACACCTGAACCATTTTCCTTCTAGTGGATGACTGTTAAAAGCAAATCTGGTTATGTAACTTACCTGTTCTTACAGGACCTCATTATTTACACCCCTTAGTTTGAAAAGTGGCACTGTTCACCCTGGGGTGGACACAGACATTTTTTTTTTTTTTTTTTGCATGTAGAAAGAAAATTTGGAAATGTTTGGCATATGCTTTTAGTTTTCAAGTAATTTAAAATCAATGAGTGAATAAGCTTTTTGGTGTTTGGTTTAGGGCAAATTAATATGGTGTTTGTTTTTTGTGCCCTTCTGACTGGACATTTGCTGTTTTATCATATTTATAAGAACACATCCTTTTCATGGAAGGGCTAAGCATCTTTAGCATTTCAGTGGAGCAAACTGAATACAAAATAGAATTATATTTTCTCATTCTGATCGAGTTTGGATGTATTGTCCTCCCAGAACTCATGGAAATCTGATCTCCAATGGGGCAGTTTGGGTCATGGGGGCCGATCCCTCATGAATGGATTAATGCTCTCCCTGGGGGAAGGGGGATTAATGAGTGAGTTCTCTATTAGTTCCCACGAGAGCTGGTTGTTTAATAGACCCTGACCCCTCCCCTCTTTCTCTCTTGCTTCCTCTTGCCATGTGATCTGCTTGCACCCAGTGACTGCATGCTGCTTTTCACCATGAGTAGAAGCAGCCTGAGGCCCATGCCAGATGCAGCTGTCTCAGAATCGTAAGTCAAACAAACCTCTTTTCTTTATAAATTACCCAGTCTCGGATATTTCTGTTGTAGCAACTCAAAAACAGACTAATACACATTCTTTCTTACCTCAGTCTATATTGAACTTGGGTCTAAATTAGTTCATCCAACACATTTTTTTTCAGATGTGAATTTATACTTATGTCTTCTTACCAGATCATAGGCTCCTTGTATGACTAGAATTTTATTCATATTTTTATCTGTAGTAGAAGGATGGTTCTAGATGTGTAAAGTAGCTTTGTAATATTATTGTTTGTAATTAATAAATTATTACAGTTGCAGAATATTCCTGGTGTGATTTCTTTTTCTTCCATATTGTTTTAGTCCGTTTTGTGTTGCTGTAACAGAAATACCTGAGACGGGGTAATTTATACAGAAAAAGAGGTTTATTTGGCTTATGATTCTGAGACAGCTGCATCTGGCACGGGCCTCAGGCTACTTCTACTCATGGCGGAAAGTGGCAGGGAGCCAGTGGGTACAAGCAGATCACATGGTGAGAGAGTAAGCAAGAGAGAGAGAGAAGGTGCCAGGGTCTTTTTAAGCAACGAGCTCTCGTGGAACTAATAGACTGAGAACTCACTCATTAATCTCCCCTCCCCCAAGGAGAGCATTAATCCATTCATGAGGGATCCACCCCCATGACTCAATCAGTTTCCAACACTGCCACATTAGAGATTAAATTTCCACATGAGTATTGGACGGGACAACACATCCAAACTCCATCACATATTATGGAATACAAAGAAGCTGTACTTTTTGTAAGATAAATATGAAACACTCACACACAGAATTGGGAACTCCTAGATTTCTGTTTTGTGAACCAGGGCTGATGACTTGAGTTGAGGAGAAATGTGCTTTTACAGGGGTTGGTGTCTTTTGAGGATGTTGCTGTGGACTTCACCTGGGAGGAGTGGCAGGACCTTGATGACGGTCAGAGGACTTTGTACAGGGATGTGATGCTAGAGACCTACAGAAACCTGGTGTCATTGGGTGAGTGAAATGTCTGTGTCAGGAGCAACACTTTATTCTTTTAGGGTGAATATGGGAAACACTTAAAAGATTTAATGCTATTTAGGTAACATTTTATTCCATAAAGAATGTGAATGTCATCCTTCTCTAGTGAGAGGTTCAAATTGGTCCCATCATTTTATAGCATCTTAGGATGAACTGTTGTCACCCTTCCAAGGACCTGACTTAGCAATTTTGCAAAATCCTCTGGTATTTTTCATTAAAGGGCACTGCATTACCAAACCTGAGGTGATCTTCAAGTTGGAGCAAGAAGCAGAGCCATGTATGATAGAAGAATCCCCAAATCAGAGTCTAAAAGGTCGGTGCATACTGGTTACTGATGCTGGGAAGAGTAAAGCCCAATAGATGTTGGTCATGTTCAGCTTTTTTTACCAATATGTTTGCTTGGCTTCAGACCTGACAACTGCTGGCCTACTTAGAAACTCACGCATTGTATAATCTCCAAAGAGGGTTCTTACACTTGTATACCCACCTTTTATTTTAATGTATATTTTATATACTTCCCCAAATCTATTCTCTACCTTTCTGTTTGTAGATCTTTTACTTTCCTGTGATCTTTATCAGTATTCTTGGTAACTCTCTTTTTCTCTGTTATCATGGACATTTTTCCTTACTCTTTTATTCCATGTTTTTGGGGAGGGGGTTGTTTTTGTTTTTGTTTTATTTTGTTTTGGGGTTCTTTTGTTTGGGATTTTTTTGTTTGTTTGTTTGTTTTTTTTTTTTTTTGGCTTTGCTTGTAAGTAATTGAATACCTGAAACTGGGTAATTTATAAGGAAACAAAATTTAATTTTTATTGTTACATAGGCTGAGAAGTCCAAGGTTGAGGGGTCTCATCTGATGAGGGTCTTCATGCTTGTCCACAGGTGGTGCAGGGTATCACAAGGTGAGAGTAGCAGAAATATGTCCACATGCTGTGTAAAGCCACCAATCTACCCCCTGATAACCCATTAAACCATAAACCCATTATTCCATGAATAGATTAATCCATTCTTGAGGGCATAGCCTTCACTATCTAATAATCTTCAAAGGCCTCACCTTTCAGATATTGTAGTTAGATTTCCCATCCTCATAACACTGTTACAATGATGATCAAGCTTCAGTATGAGTTTTAGGGGAACATTTAAACTGTAGCACACACATTTATTTATACACATATTTGTTTTTAAACCCATCTTAATTAAACAGGTTTTAAGCACTGTTAATTTTATAGTTGTACTTAAAACAGCATTGATCTGGATAATGTCTCTCACAAAAACTTTACGTTATGATGAGTGAGAAATGAAGATAATATATGTTAAGTAGTTGTACTGGAATCATGAGGAATATGTAACCAGAGTGAGACAGAAAAATGGGTACTGAGAATTTAGGAAGGAAGTTCAGCAAAGGCAATTTTAGGAAGATTATTAAGTGTTTACTTTGGCATAGTGTCAAATCAACTGTTCCAAATTTGACATTTAATACATGCCCAAGTATAAAATCTAGAGTTTAGAGTGGACATCACTATTGGAGGTACAAATTTAGAAATTGGTGTTTTAAAGGTGATATTTGAAGACATAGAGGAGGTTACCTAGGGAGTTGATAAGAAAATGAGCAAAGAAATTGAGAAATGAGCCTTTTGTTCTATGAATCAGAAATCATGAAGCTTAGAACACAGCATAGGAGCCTGGAAAGGAGCTACTGGACTTGAAAGGAGAATCAGGAGATTGTGGGTCCCAAGCTCAGGAGAACCAAGGGTTTTATGTTGAGGGGCTCAGGTGTTTTTTATGTTTAGTTTTGTTTTGTATTTTAGGGGAGAATGGATTTGAAGTTAGCATTTTCCCCTTCTCTTTGTGAAAGTTATTCTAAAACAACAAAAACAATAAAAAATGGAGACAAGATTATATATTTTATGAAAGTAGGAGACAGCTGAAACTTCAATGCACAAAATAAAAGCCTCCAAAAGCAGTGAATTATAATGCAGAGCTTTGTGCGCCGGAAAATGGGGGGGGGGAGAATGCAAGTTGACCTCAGAAGCAACTAGAAAAAAATTTTCAAAGATTGTGGGCACAGCCTGGGTTGAAAACCAAATGTTTTAGGCGTACAGAAAGGGGGTTCCCAGAGTGGTAGAATGGAGCTTTAGAAGAGGCAGCGAGGTTAAATGAGAAAGTTGTAGGAAGCTGTCTTTGTCTAGAGTAGGGAAATGAAGATTTTTTATTTGAAAAATCCCCGCATACCTATAGCCATTTCCTAGGGAAGAAAGAAAAGTAAACAAACATAGGAGCAAAATCCCGAACCTAAGCAAAATTTCTTTTTAAGGAACAGAACATTGGCTTCCTTCGGATCTTGAAAGTAGTTGATTCAGGAAAACATTACCACTTTCAAAGGAAAACAAGAAAAAGAGCACTGTGTGCTACTCACTGTTGTTACAAGAATAAAATGGAGAACAGTAAACAAATGGCAGGTGATAAGCACTTGGCTGAAAACTATGACTAGGTAGTATGTGAAGATTTTACCAAATATTTTCTTATGAAATAAAAATAGAGAAACCAAAAAGAAAACCTGTGATGGAACATTAGAAAATATATTAATATGGGCCGGCCCGGTGGCGCACTGTGATAGTGCGCCGCTTGGGAAGCGCGGCGGCGCTCCCGCCGAGGGTTCGGATCCCACATGCAGACCGGTTCCTGCTCACTGGCTGAGCGAGGCGCGGGGGCAACGCCAAGGGTTGCGATCCCGTTGCCAGTCCTGGTCCGGTACGGGGGCGACACTGAGGGTTGCGATCCGTTGCCGGACATGGAAAAAGACAAAAAAAAAGAAAAAAGAAAAAAAAAAAGAAAATATATTAATATAATTTATTACAGTAAGGTAGTATGTAGGAAAAACATATACTTATAAAACCAATGTACATTATTCATTTTTATACAATCATATGCCACGAGGATATGAAGAAACTTCTTCCCCTTTACATGCACATTCCATAAGCAATATGGTTATTTTTTTTTTCTTATTTTAGATGTCCAGATTTTCGAAGATCTAATTATGAAAAGACAAGAAAGTCATGATACACATTTGTGGCATGTTGTAATTACCAACAGTAATACATCAACTGGGGAGAGAATTGAGTCAGAAGAAACATTATATTTGAGCTCAAAACACACTTCAAATCTGATTATAAATAGTGAAAACTATTCAAGAATGAGGTGCAAAGTGTTTAACATATCTTGGAATGCACTTGCTCCTAGAAATCCTGATTGCATGCACACTGGAGAGAAATCTGATGATAATATAACTGGGAAGTTGTGCAGACATCGTGAGCCGCTTAATCAGCATTCCAAGCTTCAAGATGGGCAGCAGCCTTTTGAGTATAGTGAACAAGGGAAAGCCTCCAACACACAGCCAATATTATTGGCACACAAGAAGGTTCATGTGGGAGAGACATCCTATAAATTTGATTTTGGGAAAGAATTTCATATGTCATCTGTTTGTGCCCAAGAGATACCTCCAGTATTAGAGAAAACTTTTCAATGTGATGTATATTGGAACAAAATCTATAAAAATTCTGAACTCACTGAACATCAGAAAATATACACAGCAGAGAAACCTTGTAATTGTAGTGAATGTGATAAATCATTCATGAAGAAATTACCCCTTACAGTCCATAAGAGGACTCATAAAGGGGAGAAGCTATATGTGTGTAATGAATGTGGAAAAACCTTTCAAAGGAAGTCAAAACTCAGCAGGCATCAGAGAATTCACACAGGTGAGAAACCATATGAATGTAAAGAATGTAGAAAATCTTTCTACCGTAAATCACACCTCGTTGTACATCAAGCAATTCATACAGGTGAGAAACCATATGGATGCTGTGAATGTGGAAAGGCCTTTCACAGGAAGTCAAGCCTAAGCAGGCATCAGAGAATTCACACAGGTAAGAAACCATATGAATGTAAAGAATGTAGGAAATCTTTCTACAGTCAATCACATCTCAGTGTACATCACAGAATTCACACAGGTGAGAAACCATATGAATGTGAAGAATGTAGAAAGTCTTTCTACCGTAAATCACACCTCAGTGTACATCAGAGAACTCACATAGGTGAGAAGCCATATCAATGTAGTGAATGTGGAAAAACTTTTCATGAGAAGTCAAGCCTCAGCAGGCATCTGAGAATTCACACAGGTAAGAAACCATATGAATGTAAAGAATGTAGAAAATCTTTCTACAGCAAATCACGCCTCAGTGTACATCAGAGAACTCACACAGGTGAGAAACCATATGAATGTAGTGAATGTGGAAAAACCTTTCATGAGAAGTCAAACCTCGACAGCCATCACAGAATTCACACAGGTAAGAAACCATATGAATGTAGTGAATGTGGAAAAACCTTTCATGAGAAGTCAAACCTCGACAGCCATCACAGAATTCACACAGGTAAGAAACCATATGAATGTAAAGAATGTAGAAAATCTTTCTACCATAACTCAGACCTCAATAAACATAAGAAAATTCACACAGGGGAGAGGCCCTATGAATGTAATGAGTGTGGAAAAACCTTTTATTGGCAGTCAAACCTCATCAGGCATCAGAGAATTCACACAGGTGAGAAACCATATGAATGTAAAGACTGTGGAAAGTCTTTCTACAGTAAATCACACCTCAGTGCACACCACAGAACTCATACTGGTGAGAAACCATATGAATGTAAAGAATGTAGAAAATCTTTCTATCATAATTCAGACCTCAATAAACATAAGAAAATTCACACAGAAGAAAGACCCTATGAATGTAATAAGTGTGAAAAAACCTTTAAACATAAGTCAAGCTTCAGCAGGCATCAGAGGATGCACACAGGGAAGAAGCCCTATGCGTGTATTGAATGTGGAAAAACCTTTCACCAGAAGTCAAACCTTATCAAGCATCAGAGAATTCACACATGTGAGAAACCATATGAATGTAAAAATGTTAGAGAAAATTCTACGGTAAATCAAACCTCAGCATACATTAAAGAACTCACACTGGTGTGAAACCATGTGAATATAATAAATGCAGAAAATCTATCATAAATCAGACCTCAGTGTACATCACAGAACTTGCACAAGTGAGAAACCTTGTGAGTGTAAAGAATGTAGAAAATCTTTCTGCCTAAAAATCACACCCCTATAAACATAAGAGAATTCACACAGTGACCCTATGAATATAATGTGTGTGGAAAAACCTTCAAACATAAGTCAAACCTTGGCACACAGCTGGGGATACACATGATGTAAAGAACACAGGAAAACTTTTGGTAGTAAATCAAAAAGTGTATATCAGAGAATGCATACAGTTGAGAAACCATATGAGTGTAAAGAATATAGGAAATCTATCAGAAGTCAAATTTTACTAAGCGCTCATTCATGTGGGAAAAGCCCCATGAATGTAACACATTGGAAAAACCTTTCACCAGGAACACACTTCAGGATGCATCAGCGAACTCACTTATAAAATATTGTACTGTTTGTGTAACATTCTGCTGTATAATGAATGTCATGTCTAGATTACTTGTAATACCGAATACAATGTAAAAACTATATAGTTTTTTCTGTAATTTTTATTGTACTATTTATTTTTCAAATATTTTTGATCTATGGTTGGTTGAATACACCAGTGTGGATCATCTTTTGTCAGTAGTCACACCTAAGCAGACATTAGAGAACTCACATAAGGATTAAATCCTGCATAGCAGAGGGTATTTATTTTCCAAAAAAACACTCTTTTGCACAGACAGCATGCATACTCAGCCTCTTGTTATTGTGTGCATGACCATGTAACTGAGCTGTGTTCAGGGGAATATGGACACAAGTGATTAACATTACTTACTGGCCTGGCAACAAAAACAACAACAAAAAATGTACATGCACTTCCTGATTTCTTATGCCCTCTAGAGCTGAAGTGCAGATGACTTCCAGGATGGAGTTGGGAGCCATAGGCTGGGGAAGGCCACTGTGACTTAAGACAGAAAGAATTGATTAGGGCAGAAATGATCTCACTTTTATTCTGAAACTCTTATTTGTACTTTGTGTAAGTGATAAATAAATAAATTGTTGAGCCATTTTATGTGTGATCTGTTTGCCCTACAGCACATCCAGCTTACTGTAGCTAATTAACTTTATATGAAGTTTATGAGAAAAGTTACCTGTTCCTGTGTATGAGAAGATTCACGTAGGAGAGAAACCTGTGTGATCACTTTTTATCCCAAAGTTCATTTATAGAAAAATAAAATTATGGGGAGAAACAATACAACACATTGGGAACACCTTATCAGGGGGACATCTTATTGAATGCTGAGAATAAAGTAAATTTTCATAAATATCTTTAATATGTCAACACTTTAAACAAAATTTCAAGTTTCTTGTACAGCACAGAATTTTAAATGAAGCTAAAACTGTCAACTTATGTAGTATGTATGAAATTTTCTTATAGGGTTAAATATAGTGACAAGACTATTTTTTTAAAAATTTGTATGCTAATAGTTAAGTGGAAATATTGCCTGACAAAGGACATTTGCCTATGTCTGGGGATGTTTGTGGTTGTCATAACTAGAGCTGCTACTCCACCTGTGGACAGATGCCAGGGATGGTGCAGTGCACGGAACAGCCTTCTCATGGGTGTGGGGTTCATGAAGATAAGTGTTCTATGTAACAGGAATTTTCTTTAGTGGAATCTGGCATAAATATGGGTTGTGAATATGTACACAGCATAATGTAGTGACTTACATTTGGATTTCTTACATTAAGTGCCACTCTGGCTTTTTTATAGCTTGTTAAATATCATGGACATTTTCTTGGTTGACTATGGATGTATACCCACAGGTATATGAAGATAATAAAATTTGTGGAAAAATAAAATATAATATAAATTATGTCCAAACTACTTGATGTATGCTCATATTTTTGGACTCATTTGTGGTAAAATCCCTAGCAAACTAGTAATAGAATAAAACTTCCTACACTTGAGAAAGGGCATCTATAGAAAACCTACACCTGACATCATACACAATAGTGAAAGACTAGGTGCTTTAACCTCAAAGTTTGAAAAGAAGACAGGAATGTTCAATTTTACCCCTTTGTTTAACTTTGAACTGGAGAAATTAGCCAAAAATATTACACAAATAATAAATTAAACCATCCGTATTGGAACAGAAAAAGTAAAATCATCTTTAATTGCAGATGATATAAAGTTATATGTAGAAATTTGTAAGATACTAACATATACTAATGCCCATAAGTGAATTTATCAAGGTCAAAATGCAAAATTCAACTGTACTTTTTATACTAGCAATGAGTAATCTAAAAATGAAATTTAAAAAGAAACATTTCATTCCTAATAGAGTAACAAATTTTAGAAATGAGTTTTACAAAACAAGTACAAGACTTTATACTAAAAATTAAAAGGAAAACATTGTTGAAATTTTAAAAACTGATAAATGGAAAGACATTCAGTGTTTAAGTATAAAAATATTTAATACTGTTAACTATACAGCATTTCACAAATCTAAAAACTTAATGCAATTTCTTTAAATTTCCAACTTTTTTACAGAAAGTGGCAGGCTCAGTGTTCCTAAGATTTAAGTGAAAATGCAAATAAAACAATACTCAACAACAATGTTGGAAAAAATTGGACAACTCACACTTCCCAGTGACATATCTTAGCTTAAATTACCATTAATAAGACAGTATGATACTAGCATAAGAATAGATTCATGTAGGTCAATGGGATACATTTAAAGGTCTAGTAATAAACACGTTCATTATGGCAAATTAATTTTGGCAAAGGTACCAAGATATTTCAGTGGGGAAAGAACAGTCATTTCAACAAATCGTGCTGGGTAACTGTATATCCACTTGCAAAAAGATGAAGATAGACCCCTCATTAAAATTACACACATACACACACACACAAAAAAAAAAAAAAACCGTAAAACATTTCTTACTCTGTTCAGTAGCTAGAACTATAAATTCTTACAGAAATATTTGAGTAAATACTTGTAATTATAAATTAAGTAACATTTTCTTAGATATTACACCAAATCCACAATCTTGAAAAGGAAATAAATTTTAAAAATTGCGCTTGATAACATTTTAAACATGTTTTTAAACAATACCGTGAAGAAAATAGAAAGGCATATGAATGAATGGCAAAAGTATTTAAAATTATATGTCTGTATAGTGTCTAGATTTCAGAATATACAAAAAATGTCTTAAAAGTCAATAATAGACAATAGATAAAGTCTTTTCAATGGGCAAAGATTTTTAATAGACGTGTACAAAGAAGATAATGCAAGCTGTCAGTAAGTACATGGAAATATACACAACACTGTTGATGATCATAGAAATGCAAATCAAAACCATGAGAAGGATAATTATCACCCAACAAAATGGCTGTAATGTAGACAGTAACAAGTGTTGACAGATGTGTAGAACACAGAACTGTCATATATTGCAAATGAGAATGTAAAATAGTGCAGCCACTTTGAAAAACTGGGCCATTTCTCAGAATATACATAGAATCACCATATTACTTAGAAATTTTACTTTCAGTTAGGTACAAAAAAAGGGAAAATCTGTGGCCACATCAAGACTCTTGTTAATGCTCATAGCAGCACTATTTATAATAGCGAAAAGTAAATGAAATCCAAATATTCATCAACTAGTGGATGAAAAAATGTATGTGATCTGTCTCTGCTGTAGAATACTATTCCCCTGTCAAAGGTCATGCAGAATTGTCTAGAGCTCTAGTGGTAGAGTAAATGCAATGAGATGAGTGATGGACATCTTCTAAACTGAGATTGTGATTATTTCATTACTGTATTTTCTACTCTTTCTGTGTTTTTCTGCTTTGTTCTTAGTGATAATTGAAAAAGAAAAGTTTTAAAAAGTGAAAGTGAACTCTCAAGTGGAATGTGTTGTAGGTGGAGGTCTTTGGCAAGTACTCTTCTTATGTCTTTTTATGTTTGTTTTCTAATTGGCTGATGGCCACTAACAGGATTACCCGACCAGAGCTGGCCTACCGGGTTCCTTTTAATGCAGTCAGAACAAGCCTTCCAGGAGGCTTATTTTAACACAGTCTATAAGCGGGTTGCCTAGTTACCCATCTGCCATTTTCTCTTCTCTCATGCTTGACTTCTCTGCTCTTCCCTGCTGGGCTCTGCTGTTTTTTTGGTGTACAGAGCATCCACCCTGAACCTCAGAACAAAGAGGTGAGCTGCAGAGAGTGACAACAGCAGAAGGGGTGACTCCATGATTCTGTCAGAGATGAGGGAGCAGATTCTCCCAGATGTGAGCTTTCCCGAGTCCATATGCTTCTCCATCCTCCCCTGACTCTTAAAAAGGGTGGGAAGTCCTATTATGACAATTGAAAGGTGGGGCCCTGAGTAGGTGATTATATTGTAGGACCATGCCACAGTGAATGGATTAATAATGGTGGCCAGGGGTGTGATTCTGAGGGCTTTAAATGAAGAGCACATGAGAAGTTCTCTGCCCCACCATTTTCTGCCATGTGAGACCCCTGAGGCACTGTCACCACCACTACAGCCTGCATCAGCTGTGTTCCCCAAAGTTTGGACTTACCAGCTTGTAAACTGTAACCGATGAATTCTGTTTTCTTACAAATTACCCACTTCCATGTATTTTATTATAAACAACAGAAATGGACTAATACGGGCCTCTTGAGAACAAATTTTAAAATGTGTGGGCTTTTCACATGGGAACTATGACCAAAGTCCCTGGGCACGCTTCTCCTGGAGGTCAGGAGGCAGGAAGAGTAACGTGACATACACATGCATGTACATCTTCCTGGAATAAGTCACTGGTTGTGGCGGGGCTTCTTTGCAGGAGCTGCCTGGTTACTTTGGCATCTACAGGAAGGAAAAAAAGAGCAACTCCACTGGCTGCTAATTGTCCAGAGCTCTGAATCTATTCCTCTTCAATTCATTATGGGCATTGTGGGTGGGGCAGGGGTGGCTGGTGCAGTCACCATGTGTTGTCAGAGTCAGGTTCAGTTTAAGGAGGGATGAACCTTCATGGCTGCCTTCTGTTGCCAGGTTCCAGGAAACAGGTGGGTCTCCTTCCTATATTTCATGGGGGAACAATGACATCCTGCTGTTGTGTTGTTTCTTTCTTCTACCTTTCAGAGTTCTTTGAGTGCTTCTTGTGTAATTTTAAGAGTTTGTAGTTGAACTTGGTATAGGAGCAGGAACAATTGTTTCTGTCATCTTCAGACAGGAAGTTCTAGTTAACATTTTTCTTTAACTCAAGCCACTCCTGACATTTTAAACTAATTTATCTAAGTTGATAGTGAAGGTCCCCCTACACAGTTGTGATCAAATTTACCAGTTGAATAGATTCCGTCTCCCCACTGTACACTGATACTGCCTCTCCTATAGACTGTACTTCCAAAACTGCATGAGTAAGTTTCTGAGGAAGAGATCCTGTTCTACTCATCTGTTTTCTATTAAGGTTAGTGGGTTTTGTAACAAGGTAACTGTCATCTGTAAATCCTTAGACCTTAATTTGTTCATAATCCTATACTAAATGGGAATGCCAGGACTGTATTAATTGACTGTTTATCACAGTTAACCTGTGGTGTTTCTAATTTTATTAGAACTACTCCAGTTTTGTTCAGAAGTAATATTATTTGCTGCAGACATTTTCTTGCAGACAGTTATAAAATTGTATGACTTTGGATATATTCATACATGGCTAAGTTTATTTGGTAATATACTTTAAATCCTTAAAATAGTCTTAATTACTGTATTTTTTTTAGGCATGTGTTAAGTGTGACAGAGAGCAGGGACTGCATTGTGGCAGTTGTGTCCACAATGGTTATTGCAGAATTGGTGCTCAAATGTTAGAGGTGGAAATGAAACCACTGTCCATGATTTTGGTTAAAAAAGAAAAGAAAAGTCAGTGTCAAGAAGCAGTGTACTTCATGGTCTGCTTCTCATCAGAGTGCGGCAAACTTAATCTTAGTTTATTCACATCAGCGATCGCTTCCTGTCCCCATTCAGAAGACACTGTTTAGTCTTCATCTTACTTCTCAGTAGCTATTGAAACTCCTCCTTGGTTTCAGTAACACTGATGTCTCTGTTTCCTCTTTGTACTCTATTGCCCTTCTTTTTAGTCCCTTTTATGAGTTCAAACTCAAAAGTTTAAATAACCCCATGTCCAAGACTTGACATTTGTTTTCATGGGTATTCTCTTCCTAGACAGTGTCACCTGTGCTCAGGGTTTCAGGTTGGTCCTGGGATTTCTCTGCTCTTCATCCAGATCTTCTCTGTATCTCATGAAGTCCTCTTCTTGGTTATCTCAAGTTTCTTATGCTTGGCTCTTCAAACACATAATATTTTCTCCCCATGCAACAAAAACAAAACTGCCGGAGACCAGCTCTGCAGGATTCGTTGGACCTGAATAGGTGGTGTGGCGATGGTGAGGAAAAAAGAGAAAGGCAGACCACAAATGTCTAGTGCAAGTGTGGACAATGACCACATGAATCTTGCTTTATTTATATCTTTTTACTTAATTTTTTACATCATGATTTATCTTTTAATCAAAACATTTCTTATTTTGTTTCTATTGAAAAAGTTCAAAACGTTCCAAAGCACTCATGCTGTGACAAAAACATCTATTCATGCATCAGTAGTTCACCCCAAAGCCTGTGGCTTGTGGCCAGGAAACTATACAATAGCAGTATGTTTGGCTTTAAAGAGCGTCAGACTTTTAGTTTGAACTATTATTCTTAATCTTCTTAGCTTACAATTTAACCCCTTTAAAATCCTACTTATACATATACTTGATTTTAATAACATTGATTAGTTATGTTTGACAGTTGTTTATATAATGTAATCATTTTAATTTATAATCAAAATCACA